CACCGTGCCTCCATTACCTTTTGATAACTCGGTGTCGAAGCCGTCGGGTCTGAACTCTTAGCGGTGCCAGTTGGCAATGTTTGCGTCCAGCTCAATGTCAGGTCTTCAGGGTCCTTCCCTCCAATACAAGTCCAACAGACCATGCAACACGTGCCTCGCTCTACATCATTCTACATCTGACAGAACTCCAGCCGTGGAATTTCACAATCTCACACAGCCGCCTGTATGAAAACGGCTTCGGGTTCAGAGTTCCTACATCTTCGTGTCTCCGAAAGCACAACACATCCTTTCACTAGTCACTGGAGCCTATGTCGGGTGCTCTTTACCACGGCGATGAGTGCTCTGCTGGCTCTGCCAGGTTTGGTGATGGCCACAATCGGTTGCCAAGGCAACTTGTCGCGCCTGGGCAGAGACAAATCAGGCGTAGAGAGGCAACGCGGCAAAAAGCAAGTCTAAGTTGAGTCTCCAAGCGAACAGCTTTTTCTGAGGTGGGTGCACGAACGAGCACAGCGGAACAGCCATGTCACAAGACAGCAAACAGCCGACTTCCTGCGCGTGATGCCAACATTGGCTGCTGTGAATCTGGCTTTCAACAGCCTCTACAATTGCATGGCCTATTGGTTCCAGGAGCCTGCCGTTGAAATCAGACTTCAACGAGTTTCTGCCACAAGTACAGGAATAGTCTAAGCCTTTTCCTGCAGGAGCAAGCTTGCTTGATGGACGTCCGTCTCGGCAAGTATCAGCTAAATGGGTCCTTCTTCAACGTGGCCGACTGCATAGCAATAGTGCTGCTGACACCTGTGGTGCTGCAGTACGTCAACCCGACACTGGAAAGGCCCTTTTTGCAGTCGGAGATATCCGGAGGCGTTTTGCTGATCTTTGTGAGAGGTTTTGTGGTGTTGGTCGACATGGGCGCCTGCTGCTGGGAATTGCTCTTGCCGCCGGATCGGTGGCTTCGGCCGCGCATCTCGAGGCGCCTGGGCGAGGGCCCGGGACAGCCCATGAAGTTGGCGACATGATCACATGTGCTGCGCTCATCCACATGCAAAGGCAGACATCAGATTGAGCAGCGTGGGTGCACGTGCGGCAATCAATTTCGCGCGCTGGTCCTTCCATGTCCTTCCTGCGCAGGTCATGCGCCGCCACGCTCGCCCACTCCAGGAGGCGAAGCAGCAGCCAGACTTGTCGAACTTGGGGTCCTTGCACTCCACTGTGCTAGAAAACGCCAAAAAGGCTTCCAAATGCGCACCACCTGGGAGAAAGATGAGCAGCAACTCTGACATGGAACAGGGGATTGTCGTTTGAGGGTGAGTTCAACCAGTTCTGCTTTACAAGTTCGGAATGCCTCAGGCTTGTCGGCGTGGTGGATGGTTGGCCCCTACGCTCTAATGGGTGCTGCAGAGGTTCTGGTGCAGCTGGGCCGCAGCTTCGAGCCGCTTGCGAGAGTTCCAACATGTCGTAAGTGCTACAAAGCACAAGAGAACTCGCTTCTGCAAGTTGTGACCCGGCAAGCCAGAAGGAGTGAGTCGCAAAATCACCAGGAATCCCTCGCTCTACTACCTGGCATATTCGCAGACGCCGCTCAGGTTCCATTGCCAAGATTGGTTGTGGTTTCTTTGCTGTTGCATAGTCGTACAAGCCCGCGGTGGCTGACTTAGGTTAAGATCGAGCGCTCAAGCTATGAACCTCCTGATGAGCGCGACCTCCAACGCTCTTTTCACTGTACTGACAGCCATCCTTGGCGACACCCGGTTACAGAGGGCACAGCTCGAGGCGGTTCATGGAAGAGGACTTGACACCCTTTCATGATCTCGACAAAGCCTGTTCTGCAGGTCGGGTACTATGTTTCACTGTTAATGGCCATTCCTTGTGTTTGCTCCTTGGTGGCCCTTGGGTGCGCTGCTGCTGCTTATGTCCATTCATCCAATTGCGAAGGCAAGATCGACAGTTTAGGGCATGTATCATCGGTCGTCCCCTAAACATCCTAAACCCTGAAACCCAAGCCTGTAAATGCTTCGGCAGACGAAACGAGCCGTCGAAACAAAGAAGCCTGTAAACCCTCAGACAAACATCCGTAAGCCCGTGTTAACTTGAGGCTGGTACGTTTTGGTCCAGTGCAGCTGGGAAGAACGCTTTTTCGATGAGACAGACAGCGATTTGGGCGAGGCAAAGCTGTCTTACCACAGCAGCAAACATAAAAAGGACGTGAGCCAAAGTAGCAATACAACCGTGCTGTAGCCATCGTCATCATGTTGTCGTTGTGTGTTTCTCAGGGAGTACAGACATAAAGAATGCTGCTCATCCACTGATACGATGGCCATGACCGCGACAGTCGTAGCGGTAACAACAAAGAGCCAGAGAAAATCCAATCGGGGTACTTGCTCCGCCCCATCCTGTACTGGAGGTGCCTGCTGGAGGACAGTTGAACAAAGGCGTGGCCTATCAACGTACAGGCGCCACTTCTTGTCAACATCCCAAGCACAAGTGATTAAGCATGTCTTCTGATGTTTCCCAGCCTGGAAAGCATGAAGTTCGGAGTTCGAAGGTATGTTGCGAGATTTCGTGTCACCACAAAGCCCGGGTGGCAGTCCCGCAAATTGGGTCGACAACAGCTTCTTGCCTGCAGCTCTAATTGAGGCATGCGCCAGTGTCCCACAGACCCTACACAGCAGGATCTGTCAAAACCTCCAAGGTCCCTTGTCCAGCGGCGCGCTCCTTGTTCAGCATTTGACTTCTTTGATGATCTGCAGTTTCCCTGCAGGTCACATACTTGAGCATCAAGCACTGCTTTTGAGGCGATAGCCGTAGTGCAAGCATTCTTCTACACGAAAGGGGCGAACAAGTGCAAAGAGTCTACTTAGACCGGCTCATCAATATTTTGGAGCCGTGGTTGGTTGTCTATCCCAGATCACATGACTTCCCATCCAGCATGGGCTGGCAGAGTACCAGGGCCGTTCTGCTAATAACCGATGTTGAACGCTGCGTTTGGCTGTTAGGTTAGACACTACCGGTCCCGAACACAGACACACAAGAGCAGGTTTTCATGATGTACTTTTGAGAATTCGCTATGCAGTTGTTTCTCAGGAGTGCTTTTCAATCGGCAATCGATGACAGTCGCTGCTCGGACTGCCGAGACAGCCGTTGCGATCTCATGCGAGCGATAGGCCGATACACCGTTGCCCACATTGGTAGTTCTCTAAATTTAGGTCCCAAAAATAGTACGGCATCCTTATGAAAAGGACCCTAAAAGGGACCCAGATTTAGAGAACTACCCACATGTACCCGGAATATCCCGGAATGTAGCCAAGGCGAGGATGAGTCTTCCTGTGCTTTTGTCCTTGTGTCAGAAGAGCCCATCCCGCGGTGATCGGAGGAGCGGCTTCTGTGGTTTCGCACACAGCAACCTCACCAGAGTATATGCAACATAATGTATGAGTATCTTGCATATTATATATTATATAGTGTTATGTTGTATTATATGCATATAGTACAGTATATATATATATGTATATATACACATATTTTATTAAATCGATATACAGAGAAATATATCACATTACATAAATTGAAGATATTATGTGTGATATTATGGTTTCGTATAGATGTTTTGTTATATCTTCCGTAATGTGGCTTTGGAAGGATGGTATGCTGGTCGTGGCTTTACCTGTGAGTGCGTACATTCGCACGGGATGCCCAATTGGTTGAGAGCAACGTTTCAAGTCCAGTTCTTAAACTACAGGCACAAACCTATAGACTTACTGTACAGGTCCCTTGATGCCAGGACATTTGGGCATGTCCCTGCGTGACGAAACAGCCAGCTATGTGCTTTACCAACGGTTCCATGTTTTCCCACCAGTGCTCTGGGCCAGTTTGGCCTTTGGTGCTCAATGGTGATCTCAGTACCATCCCCAGGAAGCTTCCGCACTCGTCGGTGCCGAATCCCAGACGCAGTGTGCTGGCACTTCTCCGGCTGCAGTTGTGTAATCTGAGCCGCCGTGCCATTTGCCCCGTGGAACGAAGTTGGTCCACTCCGCCTCAAAGTGGTGCGGGTCGCATTATGCCGCAGTTCGCTTGTGGTGAAACATCTTCTTGCTTCCATCAAGCCGAATCACGACGGTGCAACATGTGACACGGGTTGTAAGTCTACGCGGCGTTCAGAAACAAGAGAGAAGGGGACACTTTCGTTGCCATGTGTCATCGCGACACTTTCACGGTGCCGTCAACCTCCACGATTACAATTGCAACAGTATATCAACACATCATGCGGCTGGGCAAAGCGGGCATCAAAAGCCTTGGAAGCAGGTTATCGATACATCTGCGCGTGCACCGGTGGAGGAGCCAGTGCAAGCCCCAACCGATTTTCAGAACTGTTTGGTCCGGTCTGGCAAGTTTGCCCCTGCAGAAGTCTCTTGCCGTTGCCCAGCACGCCCAACTGCCTCAGCGAAAGAAACCCAGGCTGTGGAGCCCGCTCCAGCGGAGGCCCCTGATGCCGGTGGCTGAGGATGTGCGCATTCCACGGGTGCAGAAGCAGCACCAGTACATCACCCATGCATGCAGAGACAGAGAGGAGACGAGAGCGCAAACATCAACCTGCAGCCCCAAAAGCAGTGCAAACGGGCCGAGGACAACCTGTCTCTTGGCGAGAAGCTGCGGCAGGCAGCTCTGGAGACTGGTAGAACGGGCTTGACTCGAAAGCACAGTTATGCAAACGCCGCATGCAATACAGATAGATCATTCATTCACGAACGCATCCATCTATGCCGTCCGCTTCATCATTACATATACCTTCATATACCTATACATACAAGCGGACATACGGATACAGAGACATACAGATGCATACACATCGACCCATCCATCCATCCATCCATCCATCCATCCATCCATCCATCCATCCATCCATCGCACACGGCATGTGCTGGGACCGGGATTCTCGACTCCAGCCAGGCTGTCATGAGCGGAAGCCAGGACGACCTCAAGCAGCTCCGGATTGTTTTAGCATGGCGAGTTCTCAGCGATCTCAATGTCCAGCTTTCATTAAGCATTGGCTGGAGTCCCAGAACCCCGTGGTTCTTCCCCCATTGCTGTCTCAAGGGAGATCTGTTGCTTGGGCTGTGTGTTTCTGCAACAAGGATCCGGCCCAGCAGTCGCTTCCTGTGGTCCGAACGAAGGGCTGGGTGTGCTTTTTCCGCCCCCATGCCAGGCGACTCTTTGAGCAGTGCTCCCGGGCACCGCCGAAGAAGGCTCGAAGCTGCGTGGAGTGAACTGCAGACGGGTGTTGAGAACCTCCTGTTCCAGGCTGTGGACGCTGATCACTTGGCAGCCTTTGCAGCCTTTGACGATCTCCTCAAACCCCCCGAGGAGGCAGGAGCCATGGGCTTCCTTCCGGTCGGAAAGCTTCGCTCAAGCATGCTGCAAAGCAAAGGTAGAGCCAGCGGTGCGGCCACCTGAAGGACACAGACCTTCGCAAACAATGCAATCTAATGCCCTGCGAGTGTCACCAGCTGTCAATGACCTCGAAGTACGGTCAGGAGCGCAAGGTTCCTGGCCGCCGCCAGGAGGGCCAGGAGGAGGCTTTGCAGGAGACCTTCTTGGTGACGGTCCATCAACTTCTGTGGCCAGGAGCCAGCACGGGAGCTCAAAAGCATAAAGCCATGTCCATGAATTGGTGTCGGAGCGCAGGATTCCCGCTCAAGCACAGTCGGAGACAGCCGAGGACAAGAACTTTAACTGACAGTGTGCTTCAGTCATGGAGCTGTTGCATTAATCAGGCTCCAGCACAATCCAACGGTCAGATCGGTCAGGTACTGAGTAGGTGCTGCTGCCTGAATCGTTGGTTGAGCCGGTGGTTTTACGCATGGACCACTCGCCTCAGGTTCTGGTCCGGCCATGTTCTTCATAGGAGACGACCCACAAGAAGGCCCGAGTTGCGTTGATCGGACTGACGCAAGAGCTCAGCTGCTTTTGGCGACACAACAAGCACCTTCCAACTTAGAGGAAGGATCAATCGTAACAAGGTTTCCGCACACTCGCCAGTGTGGTGGTCGGAGTATGTACTACTTTCTGCTTTCTGCCAGAAACACCAGACTTCGCGGCTGTGGCTGCTGCTGGTGGTGGTGGGGCAGCGCACCAAGAGTAGAACAAAAGAGGTCGAAGCCACCGGTCGCGTTTGCCATGACTCCATTACTTGTTATGAGTGCTGTAGTGCCCTCATCGAAATCCAAGGCCGAGCCACGGCTGACCCCGCGGCGGGTCGAACAGCTCATGTCCAACGGCACGGCCGGAGCACTAGCTTGAAAGCATCTGTGCTACATGCACCGTGTCACCACGCAGCAGACAGCCAGTGATTTGTGTGATTTGCTGATGATAGTTCAAACGACGTTGTCAAGGGCTTCAGGCTTTAAAGTAGGCCCTGCTGTTTGGGCAACTCTTGCTTCTAGCGCGAACGTCTTGCAACCGCCGCAGGGCAGCAACTTAACTCCGCAGCAGCTGGAAAGACTGTCGCCACAGGACTCTTGTGGGTGCGAAGAATCTATGCCCACTTGCACGGCAGCATGATGTGCTATGATGCCCTTCGTCCTTTGCTGCGGGTTGCAATATCAGGAGCTTTTACAGCTTCAATCGATGATCTCCAGCGCGTTGCAGGTCCGGTTTTGCTTCAACAGGCATGCGAGCCGCTAAAACCCACCTTGCAGCCAACAGAAAGCGTTAGTGTATTTTCCTCACTCAGACAGGTCACGCTGGCTGACGGAATGAATCGAACGTTTGTTGATTATGCATCTTCGAGCCCCAGCACAAATTGCACAAAGTTTCAAAGCGCCCAAAGGTGAACCTGAGGCTACTAAAAATCTGGGGGCAGAGCTTTTTTCCAAGTGCCCGCTGAAACTGGAGGTAACTCGTTTTTGAAGGGCTTAGGCAGGCTCATGGTGGAGGCCCAATTCAACCTCAGCTGCAAGAAATTTGTGCGAGAGGGCACGGAAACGCCATGCACTGCTTGCGCTAGCTGGTCGGTCTCGGCTTGCCGTCGCCAGGCAAGAGCCCCGCCTCAGCCTGTGCGGACTTCAGTTGCTTGGGGAAGCGAAGCCGTCCCTTCCCTAAGTCTTGATGGTACAGTTTGCAACTGCCCCTCCAAGGTATCTTCCATGCGGGGTAGGGGCGTCAGTTTGCGGATTTGTGCTCATGCACAGTGCCACATCTTGCAGACTTGCAGTGACTTGCAGCTGGCTGAAGCACAACCTCTGCAGGCCCCGCACCCGCCCCTTGGCAAGCAACGGCTTACAGGCCTGCAGAGCGCTCCGTCCTCAGTCAGCTACTTGTCTGAGATTTGCTGGCCTTCCGGTCTCTGTTGTCTGCATTCAGGCATTGCATCCTTCGATCTAGCGCATGGCCCCTAGATTATCTAGATTCCTAGAGTCTTAGATACAGCCCACTCCAGCTACATCCAGTGCGGCGAGCCCTTGTATTGCAGGCAGAAAGATCCTGAGCAACAAGCTCCGTTCGGCGAGCTTCTGGAGCCCGGGCTAAGAGCAGAACATGTTAGACCCGAGCTTTGGGCAGGTGACTGTGGGAGGTCCATCGTGCTTCTTTTCTAGAAAGGTTCGTTCATGCAACTTGCCCATACATAGTGTGGGTGTGTGTGGGCCTAGGGAACAAAACATGCTGCCAATTGCAAGACAGCCGCTCGCGTCGGGAGGACATGTTCCAGAAGAAGAACACTTTGGGTTCAAGCTGAAATCAGCTGCGCTTCTACTCACTTATTCTCGTCAATATCCTGCAAGGAGCAGGGCGGGTAGAGTTCATGAGCTTCTTGCGACACGGAGACAGGGCATACGACACCTTAAATTACGGATTAATTGTAGTTACACGGCATTGTTTCTGGCTGCTCGTGCAAAAGCATGAGATTGGCAGCCGCCATTTCAAGCACATTATGGTGCTGCTCAGCCCTGCTAACCTGCAGATTGTGCATCGTAGTTTCAGCATAGTGCACCGTACTTTAACAACCGGTGGCTCGCTCAGGCATGCAACCGAGGCCCAATGTGCATGGCCGGACAGACGTTGTAAATCGACGTGTCGGCCTTTTCAGCGCAAAGAGACAGAAGCTGGACAACGTGCAGGGGAGGGTTGCAGCCCGACTGAGAATCATGATGGAAGAGCCACGCTGCATGCCGCAAGTATGTGGTTCAGCCAGATACAGGGCTCGGGGGATTGAAACCAGATCCCTCGACAGTTCCTGGCCTGCTTGCAAGCAAGACGGTCATGGACCGATCTGCGATGCGGGAAACTGGCGAGAGCGTGATGAGGCCAGGAGAAAGTGTGTGAGAAGACTGATAAGTTGTAGTGAGTCTTGTTCATCTAGTAATCTAGTAGCCGCATTAATGGTACTGCCGGTCGAATATCAATCAATTACCATAACTACTGGCTAGCGAAGGGAAACACCGCGGCTAACGGGCGCGGAGGGCCGAAGACTCAGAATGAGCTTGGCTATGCTTGGCTCATACACTCTCCCGGAAAAGGAGCGGAGCGCCCGTGAGCCAGAAGAGATCTGAAAGACTCAGGCTCAAACCCTCAGACGCCCCGGAGCTTTATTCGGGCCCAGGCATGGAGGGTGAGCTTCTTTGGGCAACTGTGTGTGCATTCCTTTGGGAGGAGATGTCAATTACAGACATGGAGTCCAAGCTGCTACCAAGGCAGAGTGTACCAGGGTGAGAAAATGCAAAGCCCCCCAAAGCCCCCAAGTAATCCCACTCTCTTTGAGGCCCCTCAAGGGGGGACGCCATGGCTCGCTTCCCATGCCCTGGCCCTGCGGGATAAAAACACTGCAGCCCGGCACAGTTCGTAGCCGAGGTCCGCCAGGGAGCTCCTTGAGGACAACAAGCAGCTCATTCTTGAAAAGAAGGAGCAGAAGGCCCCATAATCAGGATGCCTGAGAGAACTCGCAGCATGCTCGGCCCGGAGGCATTAGCAAGGAAGAACTCCAGAGAGTTGGTGCAGAAGCTGATCGAAGAAGATCGCGTCAAGAGCGAGGGCATCAAGGCCGGCCGACCCTCAGCTCAAATACCCGGTCCGCCGGTCCGCGACAAGAGCCTGGATACAGGCAACGGACCAGAGCAAAAGGTCCATGCAGCGAGAACTGGCGTCAGCAGCCCAGAATCAGCTGCTGTCACCACGCAGGCAAGCCCAGAGCTATGATTGCAACAAAGGCAGCAGTACAAAGCTGCGATCGAAAAAAAGGAGGCTCAGAGGGCAGCAGTGAAAGCTGCCGCCGGCCAAGGACTGCTGAAGCCGCTCAAGAGCAAGTCTTGATAATTTGATATGCTTTTTGTAGTCTCCTTTGATGCTCGAAGACGAAGTCCTTCAGGGCAGCACATCTCCTACTTCCCTTTCGTGGAGGGCGAGACAATTGCCAAGGCCAGAGTGGCACTTTGAACAATCATTCTCGATCTCTTCTCTCCGTGGCGAGTATTTGCAAAGCTGTGCAAAATTCAACTCAGACCGTGCCTAACCCCTGCAGGGCAGGGCAGCCAAGAGCGCCGTTCTGCGCGAAGAGATGCAGGGTTTCCTGCGAGAGCAGCGAGAAAAGCAGCCGCCCCGCAACGAATCTTGCTGTCAGCATTTACAGGTTTCCCCAAAACCCAGACTTGTCGCCATCGTCCACGTCCATTTTTGTTGCACATCTTGAGAAGCGCGTGAAGAATACTGGGGAAGTAAAGGAAGAGAATCCAAGCTCGACAAATCTAAGGACGCCCTGATCAAGGACGGGGCGGTGCGGCATGCCGTAGGGTGTTGGCTTCTTGCAGCATGGTGTTTCTATGTTGTCTCCGCTGGCACAAACTGACCCGGGTGCCCGTTACAAACAGAAGCTGCGTGACACAAGCACGGAGTGCCCTGCTACGTAGGATGCGCCTTTTCCAAGACCACCTTTTGACCATCTTCAGGACACGCGTGCAGACAACGTGCTCTTGTACTCGATCCGACCGAACGTCTTAGCCTCGTTGCCTGCAGCACCAGCAACAAGACCCTCAAGGGGACAAGCCCACTACAACGCATCGGGGTCAGGCAACGGTACCTGTGTCGAGAAAGGCACTGGCCCGGATAACAACTGCAGTCTCTTTGTATGTGAAAAGCCTGACAAAGGAGAAGATGGATGTGGAAGTAGCTGAGACAGACATGAAGCTGGTTGATGAGAGTGGTGCGCACATGGCGAGGCCGATTCGGCACCGCTGCAGTGACCGTTGTCTTAGGTTCTTGCTGTCGTGGCCATCGAAGCATTTGCGGCCCGTGTGCTTGCACATTTCGCTCACAGTAGTCGCGACATCTTGTGCTGCAGGCATCCACTCTTTCTCACGAAGAGTCGCGACCACATGCAGACTGCTGAGGATTAGCTTTGCGTGTCTTGTGGAGCCAACAGCCTGAAACACATGGCCAACACCAGCAAAAGAGTCGAGGTCCAGAAGGCTCTACGACGAGCATGTTCGAAGAGCCCTTGAGGACAAGGCTCTCATAAGTGCAACGTTTGCTTCGTTGACTTGATATGGCTTCGATTGTGGTTCGAGGGCTTAGATTTAGATCAACTTTGCTCTTCGAGCAGCGAAGTAAGGCAAGCGTGTTGTCGAACAGTCCTCATGCCAGGTGGAGCAGACGAAGATGGAGCTGGCGACAATGGCGAAGAAGCGTCAGGCCCAAGTCCTGATGAATCCACACCGCCAGCGTGCAGCGCTTCAGAATCTTTGCTGATGTGACGAAGCAGGGTATACAGGGGTAGGAGGGTATTGCTTCTGTGGTCCCTGAAACCGCAGGACGAGATCAACATGCTCGAGGATTCCATGCTCGTTGCCGACGCCCTGCGTCATGCCGCTTCCTCACCAAGAAGACTCAACGTAAGGCGAACCCTGCAAAATCACACAAAGAGCTGTGGAGACATTGTAACACTAGAGCACAAGACACCAAAGCTGGATAATATCGAAAGCTAGCTTCTGGAAGAATGATGGTGGCGCATGCCTGTGAGCCAAACATAAGGATGGAACCACTGCGAAAGCAGACGCAAGAAGGAGGCATGCAGCAGCTCTCAGCCTTCTATCTGCCGTACTACACCCCGACCTATACCCTTGGAACACAGCCATTCCTTACCAAGGCCCTCTTCTTGAAGGATCAGATCGAAGAGCAACGCCAGCGACGGCGAGCAGAGAAAGAAAGCAAACGCATCGAAGCAGCGGGATACTGGGGCCCCGAGGACCCTAGCTGCCGCTGAAAACCCTGTGCGATTCATAGGTCTCCCAGTCCTGGAGACTCGCAAGGCTTATAGGTTTGAGGACTTGTGAGGTCTATGAACACCCTGGTTGTTGCTGCGTTTGAGGAGAAGCCTACGCACACCGTGGAGACCCACCGCTCACACTGTCAAGACCTCATCAAGCAAATGGAAGCCTGAAGCTCAGTGGAACTGGACTGCTCCTGCTTGAGATCGCTGGGGTGTTCAACCACACAGCTACATATTAATGCGTATGTTCACATTGCATGCAAGTGGGCATGTATGTGCACGCATAGACATGCAGAGCATGCACACATAGATATGTCGAATGTGGGTTCACATTATGCAGTTATCATATAGCATGCTGTATCTGTGCCGACCCGAGGTAGATCAGAATCGTCGCTTGATCGACCGGAGCATGCGCCTACGGCAAGAGCAACAGATCGTCAACAATTGTAGCTTGGTTCTACGCTGCATGAGCATGCCAGCACGGCGTCTATCGATTGTTCGGGCCTCTCTTTCTGTTCTATAGGTATGGTGCAGATGGAGCAGGATCGGGAGCTGGAACGTCAGAAAGTGGCCCAGCACCGGGACGTGCTGGTGACAACTTGGCAGAGCCAAGTGCAACTTCGTGAGGCCGAAGCTGTCAAGTTCCCCCCAGTTAAGGTCCTTTGACAGGGTTTAGGGCCAGGGCCTTTTCCGGCCTTTAAGGGATTTGGGTTTCATGGCCTAGCCTTTCAGGGTTTAGGGCCCTGTGCCTTCAACGCAGGCCCGGAAATCCATCGAGGGCATTTGATCAGCCCGGGCCTTGTGCGGAGTGACTCAGATGTTGCGCGTTAATGAAGCCCGCGTTGTTCTCAGGGAGTTCGATGAGTCCGCGCAGTGTGCTCCGTGTTTCACACACAGTTGATGTAGGCTGGGCTTGCCAGGTCCTGCCAAGGATGGTAGGCACAGGAATCCCACAGCTCGTAGCTCGGATTGCTAGAAAAACTATAGTGGGGTCTGAGGGCTCTCCTAAACTCCGAAACGAAGCACGAGCCATCAAGCCCGAACCTCTAGCCTCAACCCGAGCATCCGCAAAATGAGCTCAGTCGAAAAGCGACTGCAGCTCGGGCCCAGCCCAACATCTCGGCAGTTTGCAGCCGGACAGGCAACGAAACCCCAGGTGCACATCAAACGCAGAACTCACCTCGTCTGGTTCACAATCAAAGCAACAAGGCACAGTGACATCAGAACTCATCCAGGGTGATAAATCCGACAGCAAACTATGGCAGGATTGTTACTTTAAATGTAAGTTCGGACGTCGTGACCCCCTGCCTGCCTTGCGCGTGTGTGTGAGCCGAAATGCTATCCGACGCGTCTTCTGTGCATTTACTTTCTATTCCGGTACACGTACCTGGAGTACTTGTTCGTCTGTGGTAGCAACGTGTCTCCAGATGTCTGACCAAGCGAGGGCCGTCGGTTTTGACTTGCCGCGGCTGCAACTGCAGTAGTCGACGCTTGAGACAAACGAAGCATAGATCCGTAGAGCCAAAATCCACATTTGGATCCACATTTGGAGGATTTTCTGTCACTTAGGATTCGACGAATGATTTTAGGTTTGATTTATTCAATTTTGGTTCGAACGAGGTAATGATTGATTTGTCATAGATAATAGTTATTCAGTCATGAACAAATCTCGAATTATCATGAGAAAAAAAAAATATATATATATATATATTTATTTATATTTATATGTATGGTCAGGCGCTCCGCGGCTCCCCCCTCCCCCCCCCAATGGTATATGGTCCAGGAACCCCCCCCCTCCCC